TCGATGACATCAAAGAATTTTCCCATCCATTAGTATACATCAAGGCAAAAATGAACCGGAAATTCTACATAAGAAATAGTGCCCAGGTTAAAGGCCATGTGTTCCTAGTTCAGATAATCTGTCAGTGACTTCCTGACTTTCTCTGGTTGGGTGTGTTATTTTCTTAAATTTAGGTTGCATACTAGGAAGAAAAATAGCATAAATTTTATTTAGTCATGATATTTATATTATTTATAATATTGTAAAGGAAAATGTCACTTGCATTTTTTATAGAATACCTATGGTATATTAAATATCATAGCATGGAATTTCTAATATTTTGTAGAAGGTTTCAAATATTTTAACAACATTGATTTTAAAATAAAATATTATATTGAGACCATGATGTATAAAGCAGACAAGAGTTTATCTCTTCACTTAAGTTTATTTCTTCCAGCCAAATTTACATCAGTAAATCAATTAAGAGAAAGTGGCTATTTTGATCAACATATGAAAATTAATTAATGGATTGCATAGGACAGTTGCAGTCTTATTATTAGTCTTAGCATTCACTTCTGGTTGGACAGTATTGGCAAAACTGTAATTATCTCTTTGCAAATCATAATCAGGGTCTCTGCCCAGAGCCACACAGGCCTGCAATGCACAAACCCAGGGGGCACCAGCAAAGCCCACCCATCAGCCAGCACGAACACTTGGGGTTTTTTCTTTGTTTTGGTTTCAGTGGCTCAGCTTTCAATTTCAGCACATTTTTCTGCTGGACTAATCTCAACATTGAAAAAGGAGTCATAGAGGATTTGGGATCTGTCAGTAGCAATATTTAAGAACTGTTTACAGTCCTTAATTGAATAATATAATGTCAAAAGAATAAAAAATTCAGTATGTTGGACAATGTAAAATCATTGTTGAGTAGAGAAATATAGGAATGTGATGTGATATAAAATGCTAGGTTATAATGCTTGCTTGAGTTTTGTGCCCACGGATCCCTCTGCCAAAAATGCTGTTCCTCCAGATATCCACGCAGCTCAGTTCTCCGCTTCCTGTAAAGAAGACTTCACCAGGCAGGCCTTCCCTGACCCTCCCGTGTGAGCTAGCAGGCCTGCCACCCCAGCAGCTCCATTCCCTCAGTCTTCCTTTATTCTTCTTTGTTGGGAACCACTCTGCCTGGTTTCAGGACTTGTAACTGCCTCCCATGGCTAAGAATGAGTGAGGGACCTCCGGAATGCGAGCCACAAAGAGACAAAGCTTGTCTCTGGTAGCAAACGCTGCCTCTGCTTCCTCCCCCTGCCCCCAAAGCATAGTTGATGTCCATGACTAGTAAGGCTCCTCACACGGAGAGGGGCAACCTAAGCCAGACACGATCATTTGGGAGGCCATCATGGAAGGACTCATGGGGCTGCGACAAAGAGGGAGCAATGGACCCTTGACCCCTGGCTATTCTGACATAGCCCGAGCTCCTATTTCCATCTGGGAGAAGCGCTTCCTGGCTCTAATCCACTTAACCCTAAAAAACCTATAAACGGGGAAAGTGGTGCAGCCCTGTGCTGCAAAGCATGGGTTCCCTGGGTGATCAGGCCTAAGAAAGAATATGTAAAATCCTGTGAAACTGGCTTTGTTTAGAATGCTCTCATTTAGATGGTAAGGGTCCAAGCAAGAAGCTTGTTCCTCAAAGTTTTATGGTTTGTTAGCTATTTGACGGTGACTGAGAATAAGCCCCCATAGTTCTTTGAATGCTATCTATGTTTGATCCTTACCTGTATTCTTGTGCAAACGAACCCAATAAAAGCCCCTTGAAGAAGGGGCTCTTGGCCCTTCCCCTTTGAGGGATCAGCCACCTTTCCTCCCAGAGCAGATCATGTCTTGTAGTTTCACTTTCATCCGTGGGGGACAGTGATACTTTGTGGGCAAAGTTGCCCCCACACTTCTTCATATCACCCAGAAGCATCTAATACAGCATTTAACTCTTGTATGGTTATTGTCTGCTTCTCCCACTGGACTCGAAACAGCATGAGAGCCAGAACTATTTTCTTATTGTTTATAGCTGTATCTTCAACTCTTAGACTGATGCTTAGCACATAGTAGGTGCTTCATAAATATTCACTTAGTTAATTAATTAAATGTTTTTTAAAAGTTGAATTTATTTTTCTACATTGAATCAAGTTTTCAATGTAGAAAACTTGAATTTCCTTGTTCACACTTTATCTGCCGTTTAGCATAGTGACAATGCAATACTGTATATGTCGAGTCTTTTTAGTTTATCAAACAAATCAGCAAAGTTTGGCAACTGATTAAACTATGACAATTTTATGAGATATTTATCAACCATAATATTTATCATCACCTTTGAATTATTTACACCTCCGTATTGGCAATGTTCTGTGGTATAAAATAATAAATTCCATTTTCTTTCATTTTATATAAATAACACTGGAAATATGGTGATTTAAAGCCAATTTTTATGAATAGTTTTATCAGACCTTGTTTTACAATGTGTTAACATCTTGCTAAACTCTTTTGGTTTTCTTGCAGCCCACAATTACGCCCGTGCCAGCGATAGTCTGTATATATGAAGCACAGTTCCTATAGTTTTTCTTGCCTTTGCTTTTGCAATATCAAAATAAAAATCACATTCAGCCTATTTATTTAATAATGTGTTGAAAATCTGATCTCGATATTTAAAGTTGTTTTCTTCTTTTGAGTGTGTGTCAGTCATCTTTATATTTACTTGCCTGGAAATATAGTAGTAGCAAAATAACAAAACGGAGAGGTTCTCAACAGCCATGCTCCTCCTGTCGAGCTTTATTTTAAGTATCTCATGATCTCAACACTTAGAATAATTCCTGAAGTGTGGTTGCTGTCATGCTGGAATCTTTGCCAACTGCTTTATCAGCAAATGATGCTCACTGCATTTCTAAACCAGCCAGTCATCTAACATCCTCCTTACAGGGTCAACTGCACACGGCTTTAGCAAGCTAGACATAACAGAAATGCATTCTCATTGCCAGATTTAAATTTCCTGTATTTTAAATGAACATTTAGCTATTTCAAATCAATGTATATTATACTTTCTGGTGAAATAACATTTTTAATTGTCAGGAAGTAGCTGGCAAATTTCTAAGATAGCTTAGCTATCTTAGAACCCCCAAATGCGGCCCCTCCCGGCAAAAAAAAAAAAACAAAAAAAAGAAATTTCACTACATAAACATGTTAGGGATTTAACTTATTTTTAACCTCTATAAAAGGAACCTCCTGGTGATAAAAATATAATTGTGGTGTACTATTCTGAGGTAAATTTGAGTCAAATTCTGGGCACATGGCATTAATTTTGTGTACTGTAATCAATGTGGTTATTGATAGCTGAAAATCACCTAATACTGCCACAGCATAATTGTTTTTTTCAATTTTAATTTTTTAATTGTTTTTCAATTACAGTTCTCTCCATAATTGTCTTATTTTAAGCCTGAATATTCTGTTGTATACAGCAGTAACTATCCTTTGAAATGTTTTCTCTATTTAATCAATGATTGATTTTTAATACAAAGAGGCAATATTTACCTTTCCATAAAATAAGCATTTATAAATGTAAAGTCAGGTAAAAAAACTTATACTAAGTGCTAAGACAAGTGTTACCATACTATTATATATGGCATAGGACTTGTTTAACAGCTATTAAAATAACTTACCATGAATCACTGATGTACCTGGATTTACTTGGTACCACATTTAATGCACAGTTTGGTGTGAGTAAATTTGTATATAACAGAATAAAGCATATACAGGGGTGTCCAACCTTTTGGCACCTCTGCACCCCACTGAAAGCAGAAGAGTTGTCTTAGGTCACACATTAAAAATACAAACATTAATTAAAACGGATGAGCAAAAAAAAAAAGGATTTAAGTAAATTTATGATTTTGTGTTGGGCTGTGTTCACAGGCCTTCTGGGCTGCATGCGGCCCACGGGCCATACCCTGGACACCCCTGAAAGACAGGGTGGACCAAGTACAAAGCTGCACTCTTCCCGACACTGAGATTTTTGGGGAGGTTAATTTATGAGATCCCTTTCTTCTCCAAACTCTGAATTAATTAAGAGCAAGAGACATCGGTGTGAGACAGAGGGTTGATAAAGCAGAGCATTGAAGAATGTAACTTGTGTCATGGCCAAAATAGAAAACATAATACTTATTCCAATGTTGAAATCTGGGATCTGGATTGGGCCAGAAGCTGGTCCACAAAGGACACTCCCCCAGCTCCCGAGAGTGAGCACTTTACACGCGAGTGAAGGTGAGACTCCTGCCTTTTCACCAGTCAGATCACTCACCATCCAGTGGTAAGAAATTAGTTTGAGATGAAAGACATCATTAAAAAAAAATAAAGCTAGAATGTAGTAAATAGAGTTCACCATAAACTGGTAAATATGAGTAAGGCCTTGGAAATTTACCCTGCCATCTGTCTGCTAGGGAGCCTAATGATGGCCAAGGTGTCCTCACTTAAAACTAGTTACTTCACATTTTTAAGCAAGCATGCTGACTATTATAACAGCATTTAAAATAAATGAACATGCACACAAAGAGTTTCCCTCTGAAAGGCATCTCAAGAATCCCTGAAATACCTCTCTGGACTCCACTGTTCCTTTTGTCAGAGGTTGAAAACCATGGATCCAGAAGTCCCCTCTCTTGGACTGCGTATTGATTAGGATGTAAAGAATGGTGGTCACATCCACCTTCATTCTCACCCCCAAAGCTCTTTGTGACCTGGATGACCTTGGTCAACCATGACTTATAATGCTTTATTTTGGTCTAAGAGGGCAGCCTGGAGCAGCAGCCCTCAGTCTCTCTTCTGCTATGGCACACTCGGTGTGAGGCACTCTTTACCACATGAGCCCAGACATTTAAGCAGCTGTGGATTCTGGGCAGTTCCTGGGGAACTGACCCTAACCCCACCCCTTTGTCTCCCACTGGTACGATAGGCCCCAGTGTGTCTTGATACTGTGATTAGAACAATAGTCACTGAGGGGCAGGCACATTGCTGTTGCCTATGGCACTGATGGCTTGGAAAGGGTAGTGCTCCGAGAACTTGTCCTCAAACTCATGCCATTTGTCCTACTGAAGAGAAGAGGAAAAGGAACCACAGAGGGCAGATAGTGAAAAGTGCCGCCTGGGTGCTGTGCTCACTGGGCCATGGGGTAGATTCTGGCTCCTGTGTGGAGAGAAGGGACTCAGTCAGGAGGACATGCTCAAGGAGAGTATTTGTCATGAACCAAGATACAAAAATTACGACATGCCTGTGCCCTTTCCTTCTTGAGCATGAGATTCCCCCAAATCAGAAGGGTCTGGAGGCTGCGCTCTGGGGCTGGGAAGTGGAGTGTCCTTTGTGAGCAGGAAGAAACCTCAGTGGTTGTGGCACCTGCAGCAGGGGCACTGGGACATCCACCCGAGGCACCCCTCTGGAGCTTTCCCTTTCATTCCCTCTCAGACTGCTCAGACCTGGCATCTACCTTTGTGGGAATGTCCCATCTGGCTGGCTCATTGTGAGGCCTACTTGGAGATTCTAGGTTAACAGGTGCTCCTCAGAGCCCAGGATGGGGGATCAACAAACACCAAGAAGTTCAGGGAGCCAGAAAAGATAAGCTTTATTTTTGCACACTGATGAGGCTTTGGGGAGAACCATTTTTTTGTAGCATTCAGATCTCCCTGATCTAGGAACAGAGCCAAGGTAAGGAGGTCCGAGGTTCCCAGCAGAAAGAGGATCCATCACCTGCACATCTAGGCAGCTTAGCTGGAGAGGAGAGAGGAGAACAAGGCTGAGAGTGAGTAAAGATGTCCATTCGATGCTGGTCCTTGTCTGTAGATCTTTGGCTCCTCAAAAGTGGCAGATCAGCTGCAGCCCCCAAGGCCATGGCAACAACTGCAACATCCAGAAGATTCTCTCTCACAGTGGGTGGAAGGCTGGGGTTGGCCTAGGCAGACTCCTGGAAACCGGTGAGACAACAGAGAGCAACAGTCTCCTAAGCCAGAAATACAGCACCTGGGGATGCAGCAGGAGGGAGGAGGAGCTGGGCAGTGAGCTGGGCTGGGAGCTGGGCTGGGAGCAGGGCTGGGAGCTGGGCAGGGAGCAGGGGCCTGAGGGGCCTGAGGAGGACACTTGGGTGGGCACTTGGGGAGGCACTTGGCAGGGAGCTGACACTTCTGCTGTTTTTGTTGGCAGGACATCTTGGAGAAAGTACTCTAAAAAGCAATACAGACATTTTGAAAGCCCAGTAAATACAAATGTAGTAATTTGTATCCTTATTTTTCTACAGTGTCTGAAGTTTTATAATTGATTCTGTGTCTTCAGAGCCCCTATCTTTCAGCAGAATAGGCCTGCTTTCCTAGCAGGGGAGAAATCAGGCAGGTGGTTAGAATAGAATTTTGTAACATCTTCTAACTGTCCTGATTCTTTCAAGACTTTTGGCTTCAAAAGCAGCAACTTAGAACGCTAAGTAGCCAACAAAGTCTTAAACTGTTTTTCATAACATCTCTTAATTTATGCATTCTAACCAAGTGGCTAACCTGAGTCCATGGTTATACCACTGTCCTCATCATCTCTCCCACTCCCCTCTTTTTTCTTACTTCACGGGCTCTGCGTTGAGTCCACTCTTCAGCCTGGTGTGGCCGTCTCTTGTCCTACAAACTAGCTTCCCCAGCCCCAGCCCGTCTTCAGCTGACATTCAGCCTCCCTTGCAATTGCTACTTCTGAGCCAGCACAGTGATTTCCAGGAGCCTGATTTCCCTGCAATGACCAGTTACCCCATTCTCTCCAATCTGGAGTGGCTTGTCCTATGCAGCTGATGTGTGGCAGTCCCGGCCACCCGCAAACTGCTATCAAATCAGTAAGGACACTCACCTTGTTCTCCTAACCTCAGGCGAGCAATGGATACGTCAAATGAGGAGACAGTATGATCTGAGGACTTTTATACATTTCCCGCACCCACCTCGAGGGAATGAGCCACGATGATGTGAAAGCTGTTCCCAACCAGGTGGTTATGATGACAACTTCCCACATTCCAGTGCCTCTGTCATTTTGTCACTTTGTCACATTCAGTCACTACTGGTTCTTCCACACAAGTATCTTCTCAGAGCATTCCCCCAACCCCATAAACCCTGGCAGGATTTCCATAAAGATAAGAAGATCCTGGTTTATGAGGGAGTTTACAATGGCACAGCAAAGGGATTGAACTTAGGGTTTGGGGAGGAGTCCAAGGCATGCTTGTGAGATGAAATTATAAAGCCACAAATGGTGGAGGAACCCAGGACATAGCTAAGAGTTTCTGTAGGTTCTATCCATAGGTTTGGAACCAATAATCTAAGCACTGATGGGTCACTACTGAGGGCTCAGTGTGCCTGATTCAGATTCTAACGTGTCTGAAACCCTGACCAACAATGCAGCCTCACAGGAAGACCCAGCTGAAAAGGGTCTAGGTTCACTCACTGTGCTCCACACATAGATGAGAACACTGGGGGCTTGAGAGGACACAGGAGATGCTCCAAGTTGTACAGAGTCTGGACTAGAAGCCAGATCCTAAGTTTCTGACACCACACAGCCAGGCACCCTGTGTGGGATCACAGTCCCTCCTTCCAACCTGCTTGCTTACGTCCTCCGATATCCACTGTCTCACCAGCTCCCTTCTTCCTCTAGTCCACTCCCCATTCAGTATGCTTTCCTAAGTCTATCATTTCAGCCATTCTATTTTTTCCTAAAGATTTTATTTATTTATTTCTAGAGAGGGGGGAAGGGAGGGAGAGAGAGAGGGAAGGAAACACAAATGTGTGGTTACCTCCCACACTGCCCATCGGGGACTTGGCCTGCAACCCAGGCATGTTCCCTGACTGGGAATCGAACAGGCAACCCTTTGGTTCTCAGGCAGGCACTCAATCCATTGAGCCACACCAACTAGGGCTCAACCATTCTTTTGACAATATAATAAACTTTTTACCCTTTGACTTGTCAATGTGCTTGACAGACAAAACCTCGCCCTTGGCTGAATCCTCTGTGCTGTGCCTAGCAGCTATAGAAATAACTTTTTTTAAAAAAGACACTTTGGCAGGCTGGCATCATCATAAGACCACGATCATCCACCTGGTCTAGGCCCAAAACACTGCTTGGCAATCCTATACATTTCTCTGTATCACTGCACACATCTGCCTTTCCTCCTCTCACAAACCTTCCAAACCTCCAGGGCAGTCTGTAGGTAGATGATGTTGCCTCTACTTCAAGGGGCAAACAGTAGTTAACAAATGTAAAGCACTTCCACTTCCACGTAGGCGACCTATGCTTGCAAACATCCTTTGTGACTTCCTGTGTTAAAGGAGGAAGAAGCTCCTTTTGTTTCTTAGTGCTGGCTGTACTCCTTTGCTCTGGATCCTTGTATCTTCAACCTCAATGATATCAGTTTCTTCTAGAAAATGCCCCCACGGTATTCTGTATTTCTGATAACAACCTGCTTGTATTTATTTTCAATATCTCTCATCTTGGATAGAATGAAATCTCAATGTTAGCTGGCTCACTCTTTACACCCAGCACCTACATGGTGCTTGACATTCTTGTATGTGCTCAAAAAATATTTGTTCAATGAATTAATGAGTGAATTGTGGGTGAGGGAAAGGTCTCCCTCCTTTCTCTCCTTAGAGACATTACCTTGGGAAGCCAGGTCGGAGGCAGGAACTTGGGGTGAGTGTGTGAGGCTGCTTCCAGAATGGAGTTATGGATACTACCAGCCAGTGGCAAGGGCTTTGTGGTGGAAGTCAGGGCTCTGTTCCTGCCTCTGACACTCCTTCTGGATTCAAAGGAGACTGGACCAGATGATCTCAGTACATCTTTAAGTCTGTATTTGCATTTATGAGCACCACAACTTCAGAAAACCAATGGCGAGCTCAAGGGCTGCCTTTCCTGGTCTCTTCTTGTCTCCGAGCATATTTTCTCTGGAAGTGGGAGTGGTGGGGAACTTGATACGAAGGGAGAGATGATGGCTGGTGTGTCTATGAGGATGTGAAATATTTGAAGGCAAGTCACTCCATGAGGAACCAATTTCATCTAATCTATTTAGTTGATCCTACTTATTAGAAGAAAATTACTTACTTAACTTATGACCTTGTTGTGCCAGAGTAGAGTATTGTGTACGTATGTGACTCTTGCCTAACTCGCCTCTCCTAGCTGAGAGCGTGAGATACTGAAGACCAGATAAGTAGGGATGGGCAAAAGTATGCTCCTTTCCTGTGATGGCTTGACAGACAAGCATTTACAAATATTTTACAAATATTTTTAAATATTACAAATATTTTTAAAAGGTTGGAAAACATTGTTCTATTGTGTTTATCCAACACCATCAATGAACTACTATTTTAATAATAAAATTTTTTTTATCTCAACAAAAACTTTCTTCTTGTAGTAACCTTGCAAACACTACTTCAAAGATATTAATTTGTTTGCTGAGTACCTATTTTATGCAGGGTTTTGAGAATTCAATGATTAAGATACTTTTTTTGGCCCTTAATACATGGTACCAGTGGGATGATAGGAGGGAAAGGAAAAGAGCTAAAGTTTATTCCCAGTCTTTCATTCATCAGACATGTTATTTGCATTGTCACAGTATAATGGCTCTATGAGTTTCTTATTGTTGATCCCATTTTACAGATAAAAAGGACTGAGGCTCAAAAACAGTGGAAAGTAGTCAGGAGATGAGGGGCAACTGCTGTTCTAGATGGAGGGAAGAATACGTGCATGGGCACAGAGATGTGAAAGGGCTTGATCTTTTCTGGAAACCAAGTGGCCTTGATGTTGGAGAAGAGCAAGAAGTGGTGCAACAACTGGACAGAAAGAATGGGAGGTCCCAGAACATAAGAGCTTTACTTGCTGGGTTTTGTGAACTTTAGTTTACAGATTAAAGGTTTTTAAATCATAGTCCTTGGAGTCTAGTTGCTGGGGATGTTCCAACATCACCTCTCCCATGAGCCACGCCCTCCTACGGAATGAGTTGCTCCGTGTGGAGTGCTTCCCATCCTTCCTCCCTGCCCCACCATTGCCCATTGGGTCAGCCTCACGTCTTTACACAGCGTAGAAGTTGGAAGAAGATGGGTCTGGAAAAAGGGCACAGACATTTGAGTCATGGGGATGTTAATGGTTTTTGAGCCTCATCTTTTTTTTTTAATCTGTAAAATGAGACTAACAATAGGAGACTTACAGAGCAATTGTATAACAATGCAAATATCAGCTGATTAATAGTAGGCTGTATGCACATTTTAATGTCCTTTTCCCTCATATTGTTTTACTTATATGGGGGTTCCTAAAAACTTCGGGTCACTTTTTAAAATATCAATTCTTAATCTTTGACTATTTAAGATGCCTAGGAAGAGGCAAGAATCTGGGCCTGCCACTCATCCCATGCTGCAAGGTAATTATACCTTTACTTTCCTGCTGTATATTTTGGAGGTATGCATTTGATTTAACTTGAAAACAGGATAGCACTTCTTTAAAAGTTTGATCTGAGACAATTGCAGCATCTTTGACCTTTTAAGTAAGGGAGGGACATGATGTGATTTTAGAAAGATTACTTGGGTTACATGACCTTGGTTTTGTTACTGAAAAAGCTGAAGTCTATGGATGAGCACGCTCCAAATGTGATGGAGGAATCAGAACTGGACCTGGGCAAGGCCTTTGTTAATGAGCTTGTAGACAGAGGGACTGGCTGGAAGGAGATTGGAGGGTCTTTACTTGGCTGAGGCCTCTCTAGTCACAGTTCATGCATTCCTGGACTCTGCCATCATCTGCCCAAGCACTTCCTCACCATCCTGCCTGCTTGAGCGTGCAAGCATGGGATGGATTCCTGCCTGTGTTGGGTGTGCCCCTTAACAGAAGGGTGAGATACCAGCCAGGCCAGCATTGGCATGCATGAGATTCTTATCAAGGTGATTCCCAAGTGATGAAAGAAAGGAAAACAAGGATCCTCCTCTGCCTGAAGCAGTCAGACGTTTGAACAGTCCTTCTACGGGCTAGAATCCCAGTGAGCAGGCCATGTGAAGTCTGACTCTGGCAAAGAGCACACAGTGTTCCCAAGGGAAATGGGATCCATACTGAAGTCACTGAAGGGCTGATGCTTCTCTTGGGGTGGAGGAAACACTCTGACCCGTGTAAATTGACCTGGACCAGTGGGTCTCAGCCCATCCCATTTAGATGA